CGCGGCGGCGGCCGCGGCGCTCGGTGTCGCGGGCCCGGCAGGTGGAGCTGCTGCTGGTGGCCGACGCCTCCATGGCGCGGCAGTACGGCAAGGGGCTGCAGCACTACCTGCTCACGCTGGCCACCATCGCCTCGCGCCTCTACGCCCACGCGAGCCTCGAGAACCACGTGCGGCTCGCCGTCGTGAAGGTGGTGGTGCTCAGCGACAAGGACAAGGGCCTCGAGGTGACCCGCAACGCCGCCGCCACCCTCAAGAGCTTCTGCAAGTGGCAGCACCAGCACAACCGCCTTGATGACGACCACGACGAGCACTATGATGCCGCCATCCTCTTCACTCGCGAGGTAGGTCCAGGTCGTCATTCCTTGCCACCAAGAGGCCTCACAGGCCAGGGCTGTGCCCAAAGCTGTGTCATGACCACCTTGGCAGCCCTCTGGTTTGCTGAGTCCAGCACAGTGCCCACGCCAGCAGGGGACCCAGTGAGCCCGGTGGTGCCCCTGCCATCACCTCCTTGGCCCTCCCTCTGTTGGATTGCTGTGCATCTGATGGATGAGCTTTTTCCCGTGGCCCTGTTTGGGATAGATGTGGTTCGAGCACCTGATAATCTGTGTCATCCCCGCCCTTCCTCATCGGCATCTCTGCAAGGTGACCCCCAGCGTGGGCCCGCGGTCTTCCCAACAGCTGCCGTGCTGGGACCGCTGCCAGCACTGCACAGTGGTGTTAATTTGTCTGATGTAGACACGTCTCCACCAGGGACTGGGCCGAGACTGSCTCCCTTATCTCCATCTGAGAGATGATGATGTTTTCTTTCCCAGGGAACTGCTTCACATGCAGCCCCCTTCCTCTTGGGGATGGGGTCCACACCAAGAGCTGATAGGGCTGAGTTAATCCCCATACGTRCTGTGAGCAAAGCCGCTTTAAGAGAACATGCGACTTCCTTGCCGAGTCTGTTGACACGCTCTTCCCAGCGTGAAWGAATAGTTTCGCTACACTGCAATCCAACAACACTTGTGGTTCAGGGCTAGGACGTAAATGTAAACCACAGGTAAACAGCTGTGCAAGTCTGGCACATCGGGTCCTGGGAAGGGGATGCAGCCTTTCACTTGTTCCTCGAGTGAAAAATGGGCATCCTGAGCAGCTGCAGACCTGACCCTGCCAGTCCTGCCCATGCAGAGCCGTGCATCCCTGCCTGCCCGGCTGTTAATTATTTGCCTTGCCAGAGGTCGTTAAGGGACGTTGCTGTAGCGGACATGTGGCAGAGTTTATGCAATGAGGTTCTTCTGTAAGAATATCCCTTCGGCGGTTTGGGTCTGGTGTTTTTTTAGTTTTTTTTTCTTACCCTAAGTATGAGAAAAATAACTGCATGACTTTCCGTTAGTTTGAGCTCTCCTGCTTTTCTACATCCTAGGAGGCTGCCAAAAAGGATGCTTTGGATGGTTTGTGGAAGGAGTTGCTCCAGAAGTGGGGGAAGCTCCTGGCTTGCTTTTATAGCTGTAAATAGTTGAAACATTAGGTTCTGTGTCAGTCAGGTATCACTTGTGCAGCAGGAACCTTTTTTTAGCAGCTTAAAACTCATTGGTCTAGTTTGCAAGCTATCATTTTTTTTTTATCATTATAAACTGGATGAAAACAGGCTCCCTAGGCCGAGTCAGAGTGCTCTTCCTTTTTACTATAAACAGTCCTTTTAATGGGTTATTAATTAAGCCTGAATCCATCGCTCTTTCATTAAAGAGCGTGTWGCTCTACCAGTATTCCCATTATTTCCATGGAGTTCATTACGATTCAGAGACTCTTAGGGGTGGCAAACTGTGAATCTTAATGTTAATTACTGAGAATGAGTGTAATGCATAGCTATGTAACAACACTTGAAAGTTAGTTTAGACTAAGATAGAGTGTGATTTTGAAGTGCACTTGCTTTACAGATCATTATCTCTAATTCTTTGCATGAATGGCGTTGCTCCGGGATAAGAGTGCAATAATCAGCAATCTAAGAGATTCCCAAGTACTCCTTCATGTGTGTGTAACTCCTATATTACATAACTTGTGTGTTTGGTCACCAGATAGTATGATTTAGTATAACTTAATCCACCACAGTGGTTTGTTGCGTGGAGAAGCAAGCTCTTTGACCTTCATTGGTCCAAGCTGTGGGACTCATTGGGGTGGCCTGAGAGAGGTGTTTGACTCAGTAAACTCAAGACCTGGTAGTTTCTTACTGCATGCATTCGTGGATGTTCTTCATAGGGAGTATATATGAATCCACTTCATTTCTGTATGCTTACCCTCAAAACGAGTCTATTGCCACATACCAGAATATAAATATTAAAGGATTAAAGAACGAARAAGGATCAGAGATGCTTCCCATAGAAAACAGTCCCATTTTGAGCTACAGAGAGATTTTTTCCAGTTTAGCTTTTCAATGAGAGTACCAGCAACTGGCAGGAGGATCCAACTTTTACAACTATGTTTTGAATGTGTGAAGTTCGTTGCTTAGCTACCAGACGCCAAGCCATGGCTCCCTCTGTGTTTTGATGGGCTCTGAATACCGTCAAGCTAATTTTTGTACATCCAGATGTCTTTTTCTAAATGGCTTGTTTTTCAGGCATGGAGTTAAAGTGTGAGGTACATTTTCCATCTTTGTTTACTAACTGAGGCCACCTTGAACTCTGTGTCTCTGTGTCAACAGAATAATATTTACAAATCATTTGTCAGCTGAACACATGTCTTGAGCTGCATGTAACTGTTTTTGTACAGTTAGAATCTAAATTATGCATGCTTGTTCCCATACAGGTGTCTAATATAATAATTCTGGAGCAACATTTACTTGCATGTTATTTTTTACACCAAAAGATAAATGAATAAGCAGTGATAGACTGAATACACTATCAACTCTCTTTTGCTATAAAATTAGCACCAGCAGTTCAAATTATCATCATTATCAGTCATATTACAAATATTTCCCACGCAAAAATATATTTTTTTGTCTATATGTCATTTGATAAGGACTTTAAAGCAATCATACTGCAGAACAAAAAGTAAATAATAAATAAATACAGATATGTTCGGTTTGGAATAATGCAGATGAAATGTGTTTAAGCTATTTCAACATTGATTCCCACTACATATTGCTCTCAGTGATGGCAAGGATGGCAAGTATAACTGTATTCATTAGCCATAGTGAATTGTACTCTGCAACTACAAGAAAAAATACAGTAACTTGTCGGCATTATTATTTGTATAAAACCTGCAAAAGGCACAGAAGTTATATATCCCTAAATAGTGCAGAAACTCAGTTGGGTTATATGATGTATATTTTAAATTCTCAATATCTAATGAAGAGAAATATATTTTCCCAGTGATCTTGTGCTGCCATTTTTACCCAGTATGACCAGTATCAAGTTTAATAGAGGACTGGGTTATCACTACCAAAATATCATTGACAGTGATTTGTTTTAATAAATTCTGTAAGAACTCTCATGTAGGTGRGTTGATCTTAACAGCCTCATACAGGAATCCTCTGCAGTTCTTGTTTCAGTTCTTGTATTTGACAATAGTTATAAACTGTTAGGCCATGTGCATCCTTGGTGTGTCTAACACAGACCTGAACATGGTAATGCAAGGAGTTAGGTTATCTGGTGGCCATGTGGGTCCTCCTTACTGTGTGTGATGGAAAGGAGTAAGAAGAGCTTGTGGACCACCTTTCCCTTGGAGACTAGCTCATCTTGTTCTCAATGCTGGTAAAGTCAACAGAAAATTTACAGTGTGGTCCATTTCAAGGGTTTTGATTGTGAGCAGTTCTCTGAAGCTGGAAACAAGCTATTTTCTGCCTTAAGTTTTTTTTTTTATTGATGCAAAAAAAAAATGTATGACGGATTAACTGCCACAGCAAAACATCCGTTATATATGAATTGCAAACTGTGCTAGTACTCAAACTGTTCTTTTCTGAGGTCAAACCTTCCCTGTAATTATCCTGTAGCATTCACCCAATCTCTTTCATTAGCAACCTTTAGTTAAATTTCATGCTTCTAAAAGCATTTGGACAAAGCCCAGTTCTCTTCCTATCTTTTCTCTCCATTTTTGAAGTATATGAAATTTAAAATAGTTATTTCTCCCATCATATACAGGCAGCAAGAATAAGAAAAAAATACTCTCCTAAATGCTTGTTAGTACAGGAATGGTAGCATCTTGCCTGGATCTAACCAAAAAGTTCACACTAGGGCAAAAGGCCACTGTCCGCCTGTTTCTACACAGTAATTATATGGATCTTGTATGTGTAATTTAGTTTAACTGTTAAACTGTTTAGTTTAACTGTCCGTATGACACTGCTGTTGAAGCTGAACCTTTGGATTATCCCAGCCCAATAGATGATAATTTCATTGAGGAGAGCACATGCTTTCTTTGGCTCTAGTTCATTCATTTCCCTTTTCTTTGTTTTCCTTCCTAATATTATCATATCATGCCAATTATTATCCTGTATTAGTAAAGTAAGTCAGTGTTCCAACTGTCAATAGAACATTTTTTTCAATAATATTTACTGCTATTACTCTGAAAAAGTTATAATGTGATGTCCTTCCTACTTCTGTAGGTTTTTCACTAATCTTATTTCAACTCTAAAACCTTTAGAAGATGTTTCTGGGGAAAAAAAGAGTGGAACTTTATTTGTATGGTAGAACAATCATGGTCCATAAGAACCTGCGGAGATGATGTGGAGTTTCTCCAAAAAAGAATTATGGGTTAGGCAAATTACATGTTTTTCATTGTCATTGTCTCAGTCAGCCTGGTGGGAATCCTTCCTTGCTTTACAGTGATGGTCCATCTCTCTCCCTGGTGCTTTGATCTGGACGACCCTATGAGCAAACCCACGTTTGAACACCATTTGGTTTTCAGGAGCAAACCACGCTCCTGAAAAGCATTTCAGGAGCACAGCTTTTCACAGCAGGCTCCCTCGAGGGCCATGTTCCACCATCTGGGCTCTTACGGTCACTGTTTAAGTTTCATACTATCGGTTGAGGAAGAAAACAACAGATCATTCCCTTATTACTTTGTTCAAATATCTAGCAGTATTTTTTTTTTTTTGACTGTTGATTTCAGTTTTGTATTTTTTTTGCCTTCCAGACAGAAGGCCCTCTTGGGGCAATATCAATAATTCTTTCTTTTCGAATGAACTGTGGTCTTGCTGTATTCTTCTTAGGAACGCTTTTCTCAAAATGCACCATTTAATGTATCAGAGAAGTTAATACACTTTCACCTACTTTCTGCAGTTGGGCACAGGAAGCTCCATTTGTAGATCCCAAATACTGCACCCTCTTTTTATATATCTGTGGTTGAAACACTTAGGCAGGAAATC